GCCACCCTTGCACAAAACGACGATCATTTTTCTAAGTTCATAAACAACAGAAGACTGTATTTTTTCTACATAACCCCCCCTGACTTTAAAGCTGGATCCGCCCGTGCATCACCCTGTATAAAAGCCTTCCGTTCGTGGTTGAAACAAACTGAAAATCAGAGAAAAAAAAAGAAATTAATTAGTGTAAAGACTCATCAAACTATTTTTAAAGCGCATTCAAAACCACAGCAAGTGTATACTTTTGCGTATTTTATATTGTGTTTGTTCTGCAACCTTCCGCAACGTTTTTAGAAGGGTTTATATTGCAGAACTGATCAATTTACGGTTGCAAAAAAATATTATACTACTTAACGACAATCTCAAAACTTCTTTAAGTTGGAAAATTGCCATTTTTTTATTGGATTCAGTTTCTAAAAAGCGGATTATAAGTAAAACATCAAGAACATTTTCTAATTGTTCCTTCACATTACAAGTTTAATTAGTTCGTCGAACTGTTCAATTTTCAATTAATTTTTATACGCTTATTCCTAATTAGACGGACTCAGCTTTCATCAGCTATTTGAAATATTATTGTTTTGTCTATCGCTTAATTGAGTTTTGTCTGTGTCATGTCTAAGTCCATAACCGTTCAACTAGATAGAACTGGATGTCATTTCTTATCTACTCAATAAAATGCTGGTATTTATCAGATAAAATTGGCCATTTTTAGAACAGACTAAGTACGTGTTTGTCACCATCTGAATGATAAGAAACTTGATTAAAAAAAACCCAAACACTTTCATTTGCCCTGTTGGGAGCAGGGAGCAAGGAAAACTGTGCATTTGTGAAAACATCTACATATAGGTACCGGGTGACTCGAGCGTTTTACACCTTCCAATCTGGAATAAGATAAATGAGTGTCGAAAAACAGGGTAATTTTCTTTCTGGCTTTTAAACGGTCTATTCAATAAAAAAATCGAAAGCTTGATTGCTTAGATAACATCTCTCAAATGGAAATGACTCTTAAAAAACTAACGAAACTGCTAAAAACTGGATCCTGACGAACTGAGCCTAAGCCGAGCCTAAGCCGAGCCTAAGCTGAGCCTGAACCGAATCAAAACTTGCTTGATGCTTGGTCAAAACACCGACAAACGCTCGATTTTCTGTCGGCGTTTCCACGAAATATGAAAGGAATTTGCCGCGGATCAGGCTCGGCTCTTTAGCTCTGAACGCGGCAAAACACAAATGAATCGATACAGGCCGTTTCTTGAAACTAGTGGGTTTTTCGGGTTTTTAGGCCGCCGTAAAATGGAATTTCTTGAGCTTACACACTTGAACGCTTACACTGTTCAAGCAAACCACTTCTGAAGATGCAAGCCACTCGTGCTTGCGAAACGCCAGGAAGAAATTCCATTTTATGACGGCCTAAAAACCCACTAGTTACAAATGTTGGAAGCTATAAAAGCAACTTTTCAAGTCCAAATCTTGTTGCAATTTCAAGTTGTTCTAACCCATGCAACAACCACGTAAAATTCTGTTGAAATTCGACCGATTTTCCGCAAAGAAACCATTAATCCAATGAAAAAGTGCCGAGAAGCACGTCTAGAATGTAGCATCTTAAACACCGATTAATCGTTAAATTTCCGGAATTAATCTAGTCCAATTGTCTCCATTCATGTTGCATCAGACAAAACACAAATCAAGTGGAATGGACTTTGAACAGTTACTGGGAAATATGGAATACCCCCATAACGAATGCTTGATAAACGCTGAAACCTTGATGTTGATCCCATTCGAATGTTCTTCAGACGCGGACTTTGAGCTGGGGCGCATTGAGCTTAAACTACTTAAAAATGCATCAATGAAGGTTCTTTATCGTCAAATTGGGACGATCAAATTGATGCGTTTTAAAAAGCAGTTTTAATGGATTTTAAATGATCGAAAAACCGCAACTTAAGCCTGAAAACCAAACTAAAATCCGCTGTTAATCATAAAACGGAGCCAATCAGCCCGGTAAAGTCACAATAATTACTTAATACGACATCGACTTGAATGTTCATCAACAAATTATGCAATTTATCAAAAGCAAAACATGAAAAATCCTCAAGCAAATCCTGTTTCCATAAGCAACTTTGTTTGATCATTCGCTCAACATTCGGTGGGATGTTCGATAATCGCGAGTACATTTTGCGAAACCAAACACACGATAACCTTTGCGATTGAAAAAAGTGCAGTCAATGCCTATAAAGGCCGCTTAAGAGCCATTTAGCTGCAGGTTTAAACAGCAGAAAAAGTTCGCTAAATTACAATCTTGCATGCATTAACATGACCATGCATAGTGAAGAGATTCGATGCAAACCATCAGGCCAAATAAGCCAATTGAGCGACCTTTATTTCAATTAAACCTGTTTGTTTTCCGATAAATAATCCCGCTAGAAGTGTATTGTTTGTGTGGCTTGTTTTCAATTGTTACTGCTCTAATTTGCATCATCTTCAAGCAGATAAACACGATGACATTGCGGGGAAAAAGGGACTTTCTCAATTGCGATTTAAATAAGAAACATTCAAAAGTCGATAAAGCCAGAAAAACACAAAATGTTTCTTCAATTGCACAATTTTCAAACCGAAACAACCATACAAAGTACGTAGTAGGAAAGTTTTCAGTTACAAAACCAGAATTTTTACAGGAAAAGTTCCAGCAGATTGACGTTTGCTTTTCTGTTTTTTTACATTTGCCTGCGCATTGAATGGCTTATACACAACAATTCGAAGATTCAATTTTGATTGTGTTCGAATGGCGTCAACAGCAAGTTTTCTTTTCAGAATTTCCGAAATTTTAGTAGTTTTTCCTAAAGCCATTCGAATGATCTTAACTAAAAAATTACCCGAGCTTCAGTGCTGATTGATCTCCTGAATCCTGACAAAGCTTTTTAAATTTAAACCAATTTTGAAAATTTTTGCTGAACCGCCAACAATCAGATTTCAATGCGATTTACATCAAATTATCAGATAATTTAGAGCCAAGCTTCTTCTGTTAAGTAGTCGAGTTTCAAGTTGCTACCTGGTCTAAGTTGGAAGTCAGATTTTTTTAACCACCAGGTGCACTTGAGTAAAACTGCGCTTTTGAGGACAATTTTTACTACAGCGGCAAAAATCAGACTCCTGGGCCACTTTGATTACATTTTCGCATTTTTTAAACTTAAGTGTCTTCTTCAAACTGGAAAGGTTTGAGGTTGGTAGTTGTTTAAGATTTGAAGTTAGGAATTTTTCAAGCATGAACTGCACTTCAATAAAAACGCGGTTTTTTCAGGCCAATATTTACTAAGCCTCAAATAATCAGGCTTTCGGGTAATTTAGGTAAATTTTTTAAATTAAAATCAAATCCTGGGTTCTTCAGTCATTTATTGTTCATTTATCAATTTAAAAAAACGTTTCGGTGTTTTCCACCATCATCAGTTTTAATGTGTAGCGTTGTTGCTACTTTACGCCTTGGCATGTATTTTCTTTCAATTGAAACACAGTCAGGAAAGTACGTACAATGGTAAATTTTTTACACGTTTTAGAGCCAAGCGTCGTCAAGAAAGTAGGAAAATTACTTTAAGTTGCTACCTGCTCTAAGTAGGAAGTTGCGATTTTTTAAATTGCAAGATGCACTTGAGTGAACACGCGATTTTTCGGGACAATATTTACTAAGGCGGCAAAAATCAGGTTTTTCCGAAAATTGAGATACAAATTCCGCATGTTTTAGTCTCAAGCTCCTTCTATAAATTGGGACGATTTCAAGTTGCTACTTGTTGTAGATCGGAAGTTAGGAATTTATCAAGTACAAGATCCATTTGACTGAAAACATGTTTTTTTAGGCCATTATTTACTAAGCCAGCAAAAATCAGGAGTTGGGATGATTTGGATGAAACTCTCCGACGTTATAGACACAAGTGTTTCCTATGAAACAGGAGAGTTTCAGGTTGCTACTTGCTCTAAATTGAAAATTACGAATTTTTCAAACACAAGGTGCACATGACTAAAGACGCGCTTTTTAGGCCAATATTTCCAGAGCCGAAAAAATCAGGCTTTTGAGCATTTATATTAAATTTCCACAAGTTTTAGATCCAAATGTCTTATATAAAAACGAAGACTTCCAAGTTGCTACCTGATTTCTATTGTAAGTTACGAATTTTTTTAGCATAAGGTGGGCTTGACCGAAAACGCACTTTTTTACGTTAATATTTACTAAGGCGGCAAAATTCAGACTTTTGGGCAATTTTGTATCAAATCGTTAGACGTTCTAGACTCAAGTGTTTCCTATGAAACAGGAGAGTTTCAGGTTGCTACTTGCTCTAAATTGAAAATTACGAATTTTTCAAACACAAGGTGCACATGACTGAAGACGCGCTTTTTAGGCCAATATTTCCAGAGCCGAAAAAATCAGGCTTTTGAGCATTTATATTAAATTTCCACAAGTTTTAGATTCAGGTTTCAAGTTGCTACCTGATTTCTATTGCAAGTTACGAATTTTTTTAGCATAAGGTGGGCCTGAGCGAAAACGCACTTTTTTAGAAAAATATTTACAAAGCCGGCAAAATTCAGACTTTTGGGCAATTTTGTATCAAATCCTCAGACGTTTGAGCCTCCAGTTTTGTCTAAGAAACAGGAGAGTTTCAGGTTGCTACTTGCTCTAGATTGGAAGTTACGAAATTTTCAAACACAAGGTGCACACGACACAGATGCGCTTTTTGGTCCAATATTTCCAGAGCCGACAAAAATCAGGCTTTTGGGCGATTTATATGAAATTTCGACAAGTTTTAGAGCCAAGTGGCTTCTATAAAGAAGGAGAGTTTCAAGTTGCTGCCTGCTCTGGAGTGAAAATTACGATTTTTTAAAAGCACAAGGTGCGCTGGAGCTTAAACGCACTCTATTAGGTCAATATTCACCAAGGCCGCAAAAGTCAAGATTTTGGGCAACTTACTGTGTATTTCTCAAAAACGGATTTCAGATGAGAAATTAAGGTCCAGAAAGACTCATTTGTTGCATTTTACGGATATAAGTGATTTTGGAAGATTTTGGATCGTCTTCCGATCGACAATCTTCCATTTATTTGGCCCAAGGAATCTTGGCCATCTTCTCATCATCTTCAAATATCCACTAAAAAAATATGTTTTTGTTTTTACGGCGATCCAAAATGTTCCAAAATCAATCAGCAATCTGTTAATGCCGCAGAAAATCAGCGAAAAATGCTGTTTATCCATAAAATGCAGCAGGTAAGTTTCCCTTATTAGCCTGTAAACTCTTCCCCAATTTACAAGAACTTGTTCCTAACAACACTTTTTCTGCAAGATTTTTGCAGTTGATTCTATAGGATCCATTCAAATTTTTCCTATTCTTGTGAGTTAACAACTGTTTATTACACAATCGTTGTTTATAAATTGGATGCGACCAACATACGGAGAACATGCTCAAATCATGTTTCTTCCTACGTGATTAACACGGGATAGGATATCCATTATTAACAACAATTAAACGGCCAGTGCAGTAGAAAATCGTCACCAACTAGACGAAAAATTTGAGCCAAAATTGTCTTTCTGCCGCAGTTAATTCTGGCCATTCACCCAAGCGTTGCCCAGTACGTTTTTACTTCGTCCTAGATCAATTTTGCATTAAACCTGCACCATTTGAACGAACAATTGCTAAAAACAATGGCCCCATTTGCGCCGCCTCTGACCAGTCACAATAATCCAAGTGGGGACGTTACGCCGGCCTCCAAACAATCCAAGCACACTTTGAAGGCCTCTTTATGCTCCCAAGAGAATCGATCATTTCATTCACATTTATCATTTGCCGCTTTCAACATTTCAACGAATTTTGATCAGTGTTTTTGAAATTTGAACATTTCAGAGTGCAATTCAAGTGATATGGAATGTTTGCAGCTCGACCTCAACAGTTGATGGTAACATTTCTTGGATCAGTGTGTAGTTTTCGCTTGAAGAAAATGCGCTTTGGAGTTTGAGGAACTGAGCAAAAAATCCAAGCTGACTGTGAATAATTAACTCACCCAAAGGTAAGTTGAAGATGAGGATGTTTTCTTCGTGTGAAGAAGATTTCGCGCTTTGGTTTTTCAAAGATTTGTCTTCTTGTCAGGAAGAAAACAATGCGAAAACTTTCTCAATTAAACTAGTAAGTTTAGTTTAAACTTTAATGGACAGTTAATAACAATTATTTGCAGAAAAACGAGTTTTTTTTGGATATGCAAACATCAAATTAGCACGCTTTTTTCGAATGATTTTCGCCCAATTCGCTTGTAATTAACGCATGTTTAACGTCTAACACGATAAAGAGGTCGATGCTGATAAAAATGTTTGAAAATAACTGTTTAGTGTGTCAATTAGGATCAGATTGAACGTTTGATCATTAGTCATCAAGAGCATTCGCAAAAACCACAAAATTAACAGATTTTATTAATTTTTTTGCCCAAACTGCCTGTAATTTTTGAAAAGCACTATACAGGATGCTGAAAAAAAGCAACTTAAAAAAATGGTTTAAGAACCTTTTCACTCGATGAAAGGAGAAAACGGTTGGAGATTCTACCAGCCGAAACGTTGTGCTAAAAGCATCTTTGCAATTCAATGGAAGTGTGAATAAACCATTCAATTCTACTGAGGGACCAAAAACTCTGAGCGTCTCCCACAATTAACTCTCGTCTGTGGGCATTGATGATAATTTCGGATTGGTTTTTTTGAAACACTCTGTACAGGTAGACTGGTTCAGGGATAAATAAACATGTAAAGTGTGGACCTGCGTTAGAAAGTAGTTTTCCAGGAGGTATTTATATAAAATCACCCCATGAGGCGGAATCCGAATGATTCAGATCTGTTGATCCCGGCGGCCTTTTCAACCATGGGTCTTGATAACCCATACTATTTACGTGCTTAGTAACCGATAAATCATTTGTTATTACTAATAAGCGTCCAACATCCAAGTGTTTGGAGTCGTAGTTTTTAAGTGAAAAACATTAGAAAAACTCAGTCGGTTACATAAGACGAAAACATTAATTTAAAATATTTGAAATGACTCAAATCCATTTCTTATTGATTCACGGGTTTAAAGAAACTAAAAGTGCATGTCGCGGTTCAAAGTCTACAAGTTGAAGGTCGGTATCTGTAATTTTCATATAAATTCCCCCTGAAATGGTGCAAAAACCTAATTGGAACCATTACTAATTGGGAATTTTACATTTTAATTAATTGGCGTCATTGAAACCGAGCAAACACAACGTGCCGCTGACCTTTGCTTTATTTGCTGAATTCAGGAATTCTATCCATTATTGCACCTAGCAGGTAGTAAATAAACAATGTTTATTTATCGAATAGGAAAAACTAGAAGTTTCGGAACAATGGGAATTTATCAGGAAACCTTAAATAGAGCAAACATTGGATAACGATGCGTTAGAGATTAGACGACGAAACTGCCAGATCATATACAGAGTGAACCTTTGAAAATTTGCAACCGATATATCTGGGGAACAGAAAAAGATACCAAAAGCGCATCAAACTCCGCTGTTTAAACGTTTTCAAAAACAATTAAAAATTGCGTTACAAAACGCAAAATTTGATGAAAAGACAATGGACGACAACAAAGCTTCAACTATATTAGTTTCACTTTTACGCACAAAAACCCATTTACTAGCGATTATAATTGCGAAAATTTCCCCAAAAGTTAATTATTTGTTATTATCAATTATTAGAAGGTAACATCAATTATCCGCCCTATCAGTCATATTATGGCAAATTATCGGAAAATTATCATTAATTTGTATACATTTCCATTAATATTTAGGGTTCAAAGCCGAACAGCGACAATTGCCCACTAAATCGCTAATTCTATCAATTGCGGCCGCGACAAAGCTTGAACTTTAATCCGAACTAATTGGATGAAAAAAATGTATAAGAAAACACAATTAATGGGACCAGAACCAATTTTTCACTGCGTTTAACTACATTATCCAAAGTCGCAATTATTTTCACTGAAACGACATTTTTTTCGCTTTTATTAGGAAAGTTTGAAGTTGATTTATCAATTGATCACAATTGATATTTAATTAACAATCAAATTTCTAGTTTCATTGGTTGACGACAAAATGCATTTATTTGCACAAAATCTCATTTGTTGGTTGTTTAACAGCAATTTTGAGGAGTGGCAATTATTCCTACTAAATCAACAATTTTTTCTTTATCATAAACAAATTTCGAAGTTAGAATTTTATATTGGATCGCAGAAGAAAAAATGCAATTAATTGCACAAAAAATCATTTGCCGGTAGTTTAACGGCAATTTTAATGAGCAACAATTATTCCCACTAAATCGTCACTGTGCTCTAAAAATTTGCTTTAAGCGTTTCCACTCAAAATTGGAAACGTTCGAAAATTCACAAGTTATACAGGGTGGTGCAACTTAATTGTAAGAAGCTTTGGGAGACCAAATAGTGGCAATAAATGTAAAAGAAAAAAATTTAAAAACAGATTTAAAATATTAAAAATTGGTAGGTTATTTGGTTTCCATTTTTTTCTTTGATGAAAAGTTTTACAATGACATCGTTCATTAAACAAAAAAGCAAATATTTACTCGCACTTACAGAAAAAGGACACATGTTCTTCATGAATTTTTACATAATTTTTCAGTTTTCTTCCGAGCAAAAGATTTTAATTTTTTAAGAAACAAACCGACAATTTTAAGACTTTTTGGACAAAAAACTGTTTAATAAAGAAATTGGCGAAAAGCTAACTTGCAAGTTTACCTGGTTTATTTTGCAAACATTTACTTGCTGTAAAAAAACCCTCTACTAGTGATGGTAATGCCGAAAATTGAAGAAACCTAATGGACATGAAGGCCAAAAAAAGGCTTCTGCACCGAAAACACGATTGCGCTTTAATTCCTTTCAGTAGCAGAAAAATGGAAAAAATCCTGCTCCTTACTTGTATAATTATTGGGATTTAAACAAAAAAAACTGAATTTTCTTTAAACGCTGTAAATTCATCTTCATATTTCCTTGCGCAGATCAATTAATTCCTGCGAATTCAAATGCAACTGCTGGCACTAATATCAATTTCCTGCGCGCAATTAAGGGTATGACGTCCGCAGTTCTTAATATTGCAAGCCAGGTCTCGTCGTCCAAATTTGGAACTTCCATACAATAACATTGTCTTTCGTGGCAATGTAGTTCAGCGAATGCTTTCTATTTCTTTCATTAGTCCATTTAGAACGTTAAACTTTGCTAAAAATACGTCCGTAATTTTAGCAATGTTCTTGCAGCCTCAAACACATTTCCTGATATTTTTCTGATGTTTCTTGCAGAAAAGCCACTAGAAAATGTCGACTGCCATCCTGCAGAGCCACGTATCCACCATCCTGCCGAAGGAAGTGGCCACATTATCGAAAAATCCCTCCAAAATGGAGGAAAAGCCCCACTTCAACCGCTCCTGCAGCATTGACACCATCAAGCAAATAAACACGCTAATTTGTTCGCCCGAATCCTATTTCCTGCCAGCCATCATTACCACTTGGCTGAAAACTGGACAGAACAGTCTGCATTCATCCACAGAAAAGACGATTTTCATGTTTCGATCGTTAATTTTCGGCTCGGTGCTTTTCAAGTTCTTGTTAAAAGGGGCCAAGTCGGGCGATTCGAGCGGCCAAACATGTAAACTGGACCTTCAAACGGTGCTGTTGCAAATCATTGCCAATTTGAATGAGCGTCTTCTGATTGCCATTGAAACTGCTTGGGTGATTTCCTTGGCGTTCTACCTGACTGTAGCTGTGATGACAACGCAATTGTCTGTATGTTTGTTCTATTTGTGCCAAAATACTGTTCCTGTAGGTTTAGGGTTCTTAGTTTTAAGTGCCAGCTTCATTACAGCGATTGGTCACAAGCTAAACGCCTTCTACTTACGAAAGCGAGACTCCAAGCGAAAAAGCCAATAGAGACTGATTGGGTTTTCACCGATTTACTTAAGGGATGTGCTTTAATGCTGAACTAAACAGTGAATAAACTGCATAGTTTTAGGGACTGTAGACTGTATATTTAGAGTTTAGGTTGTTGATATTGGCAAAAGAGTTCTAGTGTTTTTTCATTCGGAAAAAACTGATATTTAGACTTGTGCATAAGGCTGAATGAATAGGAGGTTATAATGTTAGTGAGTTTTTAGGCGCTTTTTTTGTACAATACTAGTGAGTGCGCTAAGCACCATGGAGTAGAACTGTTTTTCCAAATTTTGGATATTTGTGTTGAAAATGAAAATATATTGTTTTGTTTTGTTACTTGCTTTTAGTTTATTGTGTGTTTTTATTTATTAAAAAACTATAAACACCGGAGGAGCCACTGATTTTTCCCACGCTCCCAAACCTCTGTATTTGGTAAAAGCGCCGATAATACTTGCAAAGCAATCTAAAAAAAATCACAAGTTGTTAACTACATGACGAATTTATCTGAAACTTTAGCCCGATATGGACAGAGAACTGATGAAAATTGAGGAGAAAATTGGTATTCATTGGCCCAAAGTCTGATTTTTGGGAAATTTTTAAACTTCAGTTTAAAGATAAACAAAAACTATAGCTTGCAATACCTCTCTAAAAATATTACAACTCCCTAAACAACTGAGGTATTAACTAGAAACTTCCTCAAAACGTTTGAAAACCATTGGGGAAAGTTGAGAAAAAACTTATTGGCATGCAAAAAGACACTTCCACACCTCAGAATTAGTAAAAACCGCCTTCAAAATTTGCAACGCTCTAAAAAGTGTCATAACTTCCAACTGATGAACAATTTATTTGAAAGTTTTACACAAAATATACAGGGAATAGACGAAGCTTGAGAAGAGAATTCGGGTCCATTGGCAGAGTGACTGATTTTTGAAATATTTTCAAACTAGTCTGAAAAAACATTGATACCGCTTGCAATAGTTCTCTAAAAACGTTGCAACTCCCGATACAACACAGGTATTAACTTAAAACTTCTTCAAAGCGCTTGGAAATTATTAGGAAACGCTAAGAAAACATAATAATTGGCATCGGAAATTGCACTGACCTTTTTAATTTTTAATTGTTGAGTTGAAACTGCCGTTGCAAGTTGCAAAACATTCTAAAAAAAATCATAACTTCCAAAGCAGATCCATCATGTATCTGAAACTTCTTCTAAACGTTTACAAAGTATGGAGGAAAGTTCCGGAAATAATTTACATCCATTGGCAAAGTGTGTGATTTTTTAGAAATTTCCAAACTCGAGCCCAAAAAATCACTTCTGTGTACACGAGATCTAAAAAAGTTTCAACTTTCAACAGAGTTAATAACTTGAAAATTTCTCAAAACCTTTGCAAACCATTAGGGAAAGGTGAGGAAGTAAATCACATCCGTTGGCAAAGTGTATGATTTTTCAGAAATTTACAAATTCGAGCCCAAAAAATCACTTACACGAGATTCCAACCCAATTAATAGAGGTGATAATTTGAAAAATTTCATAACGTTTGCAAACTATTGGGGAAATTTGGCAAAAAGTCCATTAGTATTAGAAAAGGCATAAAACTCATTGGTATGAGAAAAAGTTTTGATTTTTCAGATTTCAAGACTTCAAACCTCAATATTTAGCAAAACCGCCTTTAAAACTTTCAAAACTCAAAAAATGTATAACTTCCAAACCAGCTGAAGAATTTATCGGAAACTTTTGCACAATATGTACAAGAAACTGACGAAACTTGAGAGGATATTTGGTATCGATTGGCGCAAGTTCTGATTTTTGAGAAATTGTTAAACTTGAGTCTGGCAAGAAAAAAATACTACCGCTAGCAACCGATCTCTATAAAAATGTTAACTCCCGAATCAACAGGGGTTTAAACGTAAAACTTTTTCAAAACGTCTGCGAATTATACGGAAAAAAAGTTGAGAAAAAGATTTATATCCAGTGGCGTAGTGCCTGACTTTTTAGGCAATTTTCAAACTTGAGCCCTTGAGCAAAGAAAAATCGTTACTCCTCGCAATAGCTCCCGAAAAAAATGTATAACATTGAAACCATCCAAAGAATCTACTTAAAATTTATTCGCAACATAGAGCGAGTATGAAGAAAGGTTGGAAAAAACATATCCATTGGCGCAGTTTGTGGTTTTGCAGAAATTGCCAAACTTAAGTATAAAAAGAGTCAAAAACATGCGGTTGCGGTAGTTTCCTTAAAAAATAGAAACTCCTAAAGCAAATGAGGGATCAACTGGCAACCTCTTACACAGATGTGGGAATCATTGAGGAATGTTGTGGATAAAATACGTTGGCATCGTGCAAAGCACCGATTTTTCAAACCATCGCAAATATAAGATTGTCTAAAAACCGCTTTTAAAACTTGGAAGAAATCCTAAAAAATTGACTAACTTTCCGATTAAAAGAGGAATGTCATTTGAAACTTCTTCCCAAAATGTATATTCAGTGGCGTAGTTTCTGTTTTTTTTGTATAATTTCGAACTTCAGTGGAAGAAGAGAAGCTATTTAAAAAATACACAAGTCGCGAACCAAATGCAGCATCAATTTGAAACTTCTGCATCAAACATGGGAATCATTGAAAAAAATGGGGCATAAGACTCATTGGCAAGGGAAAAGACACTGATTTTTCAGACCGTCAAAGATCAGTATTAGGCCAAACCGCATTTTAAACATACAAGGCATTCTAAAAAAAATCATAAGTTCCAAACCTCAAACAGAATCCACCTGAGGCTTCTTCACGAAATTTACAAAGCACGGACGAAAACTGTGGAAAAAATTCATATTCATTGGCGTAGTGTCCAATTTTTCAGAAATTTTCAAACTGGAACTTGACAAGAAATTACCACCGCAACTTGCAATAAAAAAATCACAACTCTCACACCAAATGCCGCATCGGCTTCAAACTTCTCCGGAATACATGCAAATCTTTGGGGAAACTTGGGAATAAAATTCATTGGAACCGGTGAGTTTTAAACCCCCCTAAACCCTTAGACCCTTTGAAACTTCGAGGGCATTAAAAAAAATCATATCTTTCAAACCAGACACAGTATCAATCTGAAATTGCCTCAGTACATATACAAAACACGTACAATTGTTGAATAGAAAACTCACAAGTATGGGCGTAGCCAGCGATTTTTCAGAAAATTCCTCATCGCAACCGCTTTCAAAAGCACAATTTTCAGTAGATCAGCAATGACACCTATGAGCGGGGGAACGTGTAATTGCGGAAAATTCTCGAGTTCCACAAGCCATGCCATCAGTGGAGATTTTCCGGAACTAGCAATCCAAATAAATGATTTCCCCGACCGCTTTTCCATTTACATAATCATCATTTTAGAACCCGAGTTTGTCAAGCCGTGAAAAATCAAGTTTTAGTGCGATTTTAACCAAATTTTCAGCATTTTCAGAATCAACCTTCTTCTAAAAATTGCGCGAATTTCAAGTCGCTGCCTGCTCAAGATCAGAAGTGAGACATGTTTTTATCGATGAGGTGCAGTTAATTCCAAACCGCACACAAAAGCTCAACAAGTGTCGCCATCAGTGGAGATTTTCCGGAACTAGCGACGCAAAAAATGATTTCCTGGAATCCATTTCCGACGCAAAAACTGAAAATCTTTACTAAAGGGGTGCGTTCCGTTATACCACTTTACGCTGTTGTATATAAAAGTGGAAGGTTTTCTGTGCAAAATGTCCCATTAATTAAGAAAAGTGGATGTGATTGCCAGCTCGGAAGTGGCAAATGAGGAAAAACTTCCAAAAAAACATTTTTCTGATAATTTGCCATTACAAACTGCTGAGAACAGCTGGAAGATTTGATGAAAACTTTCGAATATACCCTGAGTTTTCCGACGCCGAGTTTCCCTGGCAACGGGCGGTGACAATTGGCTGCGCGCGACCCCCTCCCCTTTTCCAGCACATTTTCCACCGAATGTCAAATGCGCGCACGAATTTTCCGCACGTCAAGTCGGCCGCGACAATCGCGATAACTCGATTGTTTTTATCAGAGCCTACTTTTCAATTTGACTGTGATATTGTCGTTAATCAATTTTTTTTCTATCGCGTTTATTAATTATTATTATTATTATTGTTGTTGTTATAATTTTCGGTTGGTCGGATTCAAGTACGGTCCAGGGGTTCAGAGTGAAACAAGCTGTTTGCAAGCAAAAAACACTTAAAATTAAAGCGGCTGAGGTGAAAAAAGTTCAATTTTGTGATCTATTTTCGCGTGGCAGTGGTAAAAATAACTACAACCGCTGTTTTAATATAGAAAACATTGAGCTGACCGGCGGGGGGGTTTTTCTTCAATGGATAAACGCAATATTAATGCCTTAAATAAGTTTGCCTTATATTCGTCGTAGTTGTTCCCGATATATTGTTTCCTGCCTTTTCGATAAAACAACCAAAATCATTGTCTACAACGCAAAACGATAATCAGATTTACAAGAACACCGACATCGATTGCTGCTGGATGACACATTTTTCGTCGTAAAACCGCAAATTTGCCAACGAATTTTTCAACTGTACACAAATAATTAAGCTTAGCCGGGAAAATGCTGAAAGCTGCCAGATGATGAGGGCAATGTTGGGAAACCTGTGACGATTCCCAGTGAAACAGCACAACAAATGCAGGAAAAAATCACTGGGCCTTAGAAGATGCCTGTAAGGAGGGGACTGGTGGCACCAAGAACTACATTAATCGAGACTATCATTAGGAAATTCGACACTGACAGTAAGTAGTTTGAGCTCATTTATGCACCTAAAAAATAGGTTATTGGGGCATAGTGAATTGCTAATTTATGCACCCCATGTGTATTTTTTTGAATTGCGCATTATATCACTGTTTAATGGGAGAAAGCAATTTCTATAAATAATTTGTTGTTCGTTAAAAATACAAACAGGTTAAAAATACAAACAGCACACAGGTGATATAATATCAGTACTACTCCCCCTTTTTAGACAGTGCAGCTTCGGTTTTTCAATTTTTTTTAGAAAGCTTCCTAACATTAATAATTGTTATTGCTGAAAACATACAAGTATTTTCCTTCATTCAATCGCAGATAGTTTGGGTTAATCTGACTTAGATTCATATCATATTTGGCTGGTAATGAGCGTTTTTCATGCCATTTGTCCATCAATTATTATTCCAAGATTTATATATTTTCAGTGTCTTTTTTTGACTTAACAACTTGCTTCTCTAAAAGCCCTGAGCTAAGTTTTTATCTCCAAAATCAATCAAGCCAATCAACTGCTTGATCACGAATCGCTAATTATTCCTGTGAAATGAATTGTTGGAAAAA